GTGTTAGATGGTTTAGGGCATACAATTTTTCACTTCTAAACTGATTAGGGAAATTGGCATCATCAGAGAGGTTTGACCACACTGAGGCAAAATGATTTGAAATTACTGATGGGTCCGAAGAGATGTAGTTATTGGTGTTTATAGCAATGACCGGTTTGTATGGATTTCTATTGAAAAGTCTGTTGATTCTATTCCATATATCGGAAACAGAAGAGTTGGGGGAAACAGATTCCGTAAACTTCTGGAAGCTAAGCCTTTTTTGAGCTTTCATTTCTTTAAGGAAGATAGCATTGCGCTTTTTGAAATTAATAAGATTTGTTGGCGTTAGGTTACTTTTGAAATTATACCAAGCTTGCATTTTTTCTCTTCGGAGATTCGAAAGCATTTTATTCCACCAGGGAACATGGGTTTTTGAACGGTGGGATGCCTGTGGAATGCAACGGTTTGCTGCTGCTCGGATCGCTTTGGCAACATTAGCTACTTCTTGATTTGGGGAGTTTGACAGGGAACGAGCTTCCATTTCGAGGTCGACTTGCTTTGCATAGTTAATCCAGTCGGCATGACCTAAGAGGAACTTAGGTGGGGGCCTTTGTACGGTGGGAAATGTTGGAGTTCAATGAGAATTTTTAAATAATCGGAAAGTGGTCGCTATTGCGAAGATCTTTAAATATTTGCCATTTTATAAGTGGGAATAAAGGTGGTGAGCAAAAGTAGATATCAACGTGGGTAAAAGAAGAGTGAGTTGAGAAGTGAGTCGGGCTACCATCGTTCAGAACGCATAGATCAGACAGCCTGATAGCATTTTTGATAGCGAGTCCCCTGTGATTGGTGGAGTTGGAGCCCCATATGTTACTCCACCCGTTAAAGTCGCCTAGTATCATTAATGGGGTGTTAACTGAATCAAAAATATCGGTTAGATCGATGCTACAAAATCTTTGGGAAGGTGGGATATAAATAGACGCTAGTGTAAATTTAATGCTAAGTTCGACCTCAATCAGAACTACTTGTAGAGGCGAGTTTATGTCAACTTGTTTATGAGGGATGTGGTTTTTAATTAATAAACCAACACCTTGTTTTGCTGTTGTGTTTGCTGCGGCGTTTGTAAAATATTTGGAATAATTATTTGGTAGAGATGGGGTGTGGCTGTAACAACAATGGGTTTCTTGAAGTGTGTTGCTTTATAAGCATCTGCAGTTCTGTGAAATTGTTAAAGAAACCTTTCTTATTCCACTGTAGAATATTTAAGTTCATGGCGTAAAGACTGGAAAAGTTCTCTACTTTTTGTAAACTTAAGTTTACAGAAGCGAGAAATAATTAGTCTTGAAATAAAGTTGTTTTATATGTCAGGTATATTACTTTTGAAAATTTCGGTATTATCCTGTTCTTTAATGAAATATTCATTATTTTTTAAGAGATTTTGTGTAAAAAGGGATATTGGGGACATCGAAGTTAGATCTACTGCATGGGTTTGTTGAGTGGTCGACATCGGAGCTTGTTGATGCGGAATATTGCTGGTAGAAGTTGTAGCAAAAGGTGTTTCATTTGGATAAAGGTTAGTAGGGGTCGGTTTAGTGGCCAAATTATTTGTTGACGGAGTACTGGAATTATTTGAATTGTTGTAAGTAAAGGTTTGTCTATCAGAAAGTTTGTTGTTTAGTTTGCCATTATTGTCATTTTTTTTGGGTTGGTGATGCAGAAATATCTTCTGGGACTATGATTTCATTAGAGTTTTTACTATTTGCGCTTGTGGAAGCAACATTTTTCGTGGATGTGGTATTCTTTGTANGTTTGTTGTTTAGTTTGCCATTATTGTCATTTTTTTGGGTTGGTGATGCAGAAATATCTTCTGGGACTATGATTTCAGTAGAGTTTTTACTATTTGCGCTTGTGGAAGCAACATTTTTCGTGGATGTGGTATTCTTTGTAATGCTGGCGTAAGAGCTAATACGTGGAAGGAGCGGTACGTTTTTTTTTTTTTGTGCTTCGCTCATGCTACATTTTTCTATGGTTTTAATTTTAAGGATTTCCCTGGCTTGGATAAATNTTTTTTTTTTTGTGCTTGCGACGTGCTTCGCTCATGCTACATTTTTCTATGGTTTTAATTTTAAGGATTTCCCTGGCTTGGATAAATTTTGGGCAGCTTTTATCTGAAGAAGGGTGTTCTTCTGAGCAGTTAGCACACTGGGTTCGGATGCACTTCTCAGGGTTGTGTGGTGGGAGATTGCAGTTGTAGCACGAGGGGTTGCTAGCGCATCGTTTATGTGTATGTCCTAACCTCTGGCAGTTCTTTCAGCGCATTGGAGTCGGGATATAAGGTTGCTNTGTGGTGGGAGATTGCAGTTGTAGCACGAGGGGTTGCTAGCGCATCGTTTATGTGTATGTCCTAACCTCTGGCAGTTCTTTCAGCGCATTGGAGTCGGGATATAAGGTTGCTCCTTAACTTTGTACCATGCTACATCAACGGAATCAGGAAGGCGATAAAGGTGAAAAGTTAGGACCATTTGCCCGGTGTGGAAAGATTTACCATCGACTTGACGAGTGAATTTATAAACACCAGTTGCATGTTGATCCTTCATTTCACTAATTTTTTCCTCTTCCGCCACGTGTTTTAAGCAGAGTGAGTATATAACACCTTTTACCGAATTTAAGCTTTCGTGTAGTTTCACGCTAATAGGGCACGTATTGGAAAAAGATTTAGCTTTTACGAACTTTTCGGCAATTCGTTCGTTGCGGGTTAATACAAGTGCATTACCGTCGCGGAGTTGGGAAATTGAATCTATTTCCGTTGAGATAGCTTCTATACATTTTTTAATAGCGAATGGGCTTAATTGACTTAGAGATTTATTATTGTCTGCGGATGATATTAAAGTATAAATTTCGGGTTGTGTTGTGAAACACATCTTTGTGTGGGTTGCGGAAAAGCGTCTTGCTTCGAGTTAGGTCTCTTTTTCCTTTTGGGAGGGCTATCCAGAAAATCTACCAAAGCAGAAAAAATTGATTCGGAGACCTATCCGCAGGCCCCGGCGCCATGATTACAATGTTAACTTCTATGTGCGGCCAAACAAGTGTATTCAATGCACAATAATAAGAATGAAATGCAAAGTAGACAGCAAAAGAAGTTATACGATTAGCGGGAGTTTAACACATTGCTAAATGCTAGTCACAAACTGTTCCCTGAAAACGACGTCTGAACGCTTTGAATGATGATAGCCGGCGACTGTATCCTGGTTTTTAAATTCAGTGGGAGCAGCGATGAGCACGGAAGAGGTCTATAACCACTACAAAATTAACAGCCTGTCGTGTAGAAGACAGGCTTGTGACCTGCTTTTCTTTTATAAACTTGTTAACGGCATCATTATCTCACCTCAAATTTTAGCTCAATATTCTCTCATTTGTCCGCGAGCAGGCCTCCGACATAATCGACTAATTGAAATTAAAAAGACTACAAAGAACTACATGTGGAATGGACCCAGAAGCAGAATCGCTAGATTAGTTAACGAACACAGCTCTACATTGAACTTATTCGCTGGATGTTACCAGTTCACGAAAAATGTAACGGATCAACTCTACACATCGATAACCCCACTTTAAAAATAGTAGATATAACGGATCCTACATGAAATCATATTTTAAAAGTCCGAAACATATTGTTCTTATCTATTTTATACTTTTACACTTATCATGTGCGATTGTTTTTAAGCGTAAAGCCGTTTGGCGTTAAGCGTTAAGCATAAATAAATAAATAAATAAATAATCATTGACAAAGTGGCTCTCAACAGCCCGAAACTGACNCAGTTCACGAAAAATGTAACGGATCAACTCTACACATCGATAACCCCACTTTAAAAATAGTAGATATAACGGATCCTACATGAAATCATATTTTAAAAGTCCGAAACATATTGTTCTTATCTATTTTATACTTTTACACTTATCATATGCGATTGTTTTTAAGCGTAAAGCCGTTTGGCGTTAAGCGTTAAGCGTAAATAAATAATTAAATAATCATTGTCAAAGTGGCTCTCAACAGCCCGAAACTGACAAAAGAAACCAGAATCATTTAGTTTTGGACATCAGCTAAACGAAATATTCCACATATCGTCGTTTAAAGTAAGAAACCGCGTATCGTCATTCTGCAAAACCGTGTAATGGACATTTNGTCGTTTAAAGTAAGAAACCGCGTATCGTCATTCTGCAAAACCGTGTAATTGACATTTACTACCAAAAATTGGATTTGCTCACACAAGCTCTTGGCTCAATCCATATCCATTCGCCCTGAAATATACTAGCAAGAAACCTTTTTGAAATATGAGTGTTTTTACTCNCAAGATTAGTTAACGAACACAGCTCTACATTGAACTTATTCGCTGGATGTTACCAGTTCACGAAAAATGTAACGGATCAACTCTACACATCGATAACCCCACTTTAAAAATAGTAGATATAACGGATCCTACATGAAATCATATTTTAAAAGTCCGAAACATATTGTTCTTATCTATTTTATACTTTTACACTTATCATATGCGATTGTTTTTAAGCGTAAAGCCGTTTGGCGTTAAGCGTTAAGCGTAAATAAATAATTAAATAATCATTGTCAAAGTGGCTCTCAACAGCCCGAAACTGACAAAAGAAACCAGAATCATTTAGTTTTGGACATCAGCTAAACGAAATATTCCACATATCGTCGTTTAAAGTAAGAAACCGCGTATCGTCATTCTGCAAAACCGTGTAATTGACATTTACTACCAAAAATTGGATTTGCTCACACAAGCTCTTGGCTCAATCCTTATCCATTCGCCCTGAAATATACTAGCAAGAAACCTTTTTGAAATATGAGTGTTTTTACTATCTAGAAAATAATTTAGAAACCTCACATACGCGGTTTTGCATTTTGTTGATACGCGGTTTTGTATTATTTATTACATTATTTTGCTAATTAATTTCTAAAAAGTTACATTCTGTACCAGTGTTTAAAAAATTATTACTACTTCACTTACTTGTTCGGCACACAACCACAATTGGCCATCCTTCAGCAGGAATTTGAGAAAATCCAATCGCTCTTGTATTTGCATATTGTGTGGATAACGTCCATCGATGCATAATGCATTCGGTTCGACGTTCGGCATCTCAGCAATCATCGTACGAATTTTATCCATGTAGGTGGTTAAGCTATTCGTTACAAGTATAACCAAAGTGTAGTCATTTTGCAATCTTTCAATCACTTGTTGACGATTAAGTGTTTGTTGCGTGCGCGGCGCATGACTGGGCGACGAATCATAAAGACAACAGATTTCACGTATCAACCGCAAGGCTGGCAGCACCCAATTGTCGCCAGTTTTCAACTCCTGTACGCATTTATCCAACCACACAATCTTTTGTGCATCACGTTCCTGCGAGCAACTGTAGTCCAAGATCTTTACATGGGCCGCTAAGGCTTGATCTAATACTTCTGGCGGTATTTCTTGGCTGTGTGCGAGCGTCCAGAAAAGTTTCAAAACTTTTTGTGCCATTACACCGTTTTTATCGTCCTCAGCGAGCCGTCGTATCAGTTCTAGCAGGCGTTCGCGCTGCCGCTTATTGGCGGTTGTCATGCTGGCCTACAATCAAATATATATATTTTTTTTTTACATGCGATTAAATATTAAGTAAATCGTATTTTCTACCTGAAACGATTCGAAGAGGTGATCCAGCTGTTCGGGGGTAAAATCCCAAGCCAATTTTGCCAAAAGATCATGGACATTCTTCACAATCGCCTCATGCTTGCCAGCCTGTGCACGCCATACGGCATCCAAATCCTCCAGAGTCAAGGCATGTTCTTTGATCAAAAAGCGTATGATCTTTTCAAGCTTTTCCACATATTGGGGCTGATGCAATGAGTCTTTGAGAACGATTCCCAACACATCAGAGTCTTTGATCCAATTCTATAAAAAGGAATTAACAAAAATCATTAAAAATTTCAGCGTTTTTGTACTGTGGCGGTTAAATATACAAAATTTAGAATTGTTTATTGTATTTCCGTATTGTATTTCCGCTACATATCACTTACCGCCATTCGTTCTGCCGTCAACCAGTCCATTTCATCATCCGGCAAGCAATGTTGCAATTGCTGCGTACGATGCGAATAATACGACACAGAGCTAAGCACCTTATTGATTTCATTCAGTGCGTTCATTTTTCCGTTGAAGCTTGAAACTTGCAGCAAACGCAATATCATTTTTAGTCGAAACATTTCCAGATCGCGAATCAAATCCTCTTGCCCGGGCAAACGACTCGCCAATAAACGTGCCGACTTTACAATGCCGTTAATGTAGTCGTTGCGGCCCTCCGGTTTCGCTTCACGCTTCAATTCATCATCGGAGAAACTATCCAACAAATCCAATACAACATTCCAAATCGGCATGAAGTACTTAGCGATGGTAGCAGGTGTCAACAGCTCATAACATTGGCCGAATGGTCGCAGTAAACTGAAGATCAGCGCTAATGTTAATTTGTTATCCTGATTATCGTCGGACACTTGAGATGACTTGCTTGTCTTGCTTCTCAAATCTAAGCCAGAACCCGACGACTCGACGCCGCTATTCTCTTGGTTCTTTTTTAGCAATTGCAAACCGCAATTAAACCGCTCCAATAGATTGTCAAAACCACTCAACTGACCGAAACGATTGATCAAATCAACTAGCCAGCCTCGAGGATTTTTAGGCTCTGGCGGGGGTTTAGCAAACATCTTGTTGCCGTCCAAGACACCCCAGAGCGATTCCGGAGGTGCAAAACAAGCCGGTTGGCGGGCAGCATTAAATGTGTTGAACTTATTTTCCGGATCAAATACCATGGCCAGCAAATCCAACAGATAAGGATTATCGCGCGACATATGTATGGCAATTAAATGCAATAATTTGCCGCAAGACAATAAAATGCAATGATGGATATTATATTTCCACGAATTCACTGCCTCGTCGGTGAGGATCTTCGAAAACGACGTGGTTAGAGCGTTGCGATAAAATTCTACGCATGGTTCACAATCATGATCGACACCTTAAAAGAGGAGAGTTAACAGTTTTTAGATTTATTTTACAATAAATATTTTACATTACATCCCGATATAGAATGCTTACCTGCTGCAGTTAGTGCAATAGCTGCATTTAGCAACACTTCCAACTCCTGTTCAGGCAACACTGGTACCACCCAGCGTGGATTCGAGATCTTCTGCGTTAGGGAACGCAATTTCAACGTTGGGAACGATGATATTAACTTTTCTGGTGTTCTTTAAAATAAACATTTACAAAGAAAAGATAATTAGCAAAATTTGATGAAGAGTAAAGGAAACAACGAATTTGTGTTGAAAAGGAAAACCAACTGAAAGCTAATCGCATAATGCAATGACTCATAAAGCTGATACTGCTAATAGTGTTCTCATATTTTTTTCTTTTTGTTATCGCGAATATGTGATTCAAATTCTTTTTTCTCAAGCTCATAAGGCGAAAAAGCAAAAGAAACACACACTCGAAAATAGGTAAAGAACATGACTAGGTAAACAAGCATGAAAAATAAAATTTGATATTTTGGTTTATTTTAAACAAGGAAAACTTATTGATAAGTACACATCTCGAAAGATAATTCTACCCTTTGCTCCCCTAAGTGCCGTTTTCTCAAGTTGGTTTTAAAATGTATCTGCACTTCAAACACATTTCTTCAGAACAAAGTTTGTGTTTGAAGGGTAGATAAATTTTAAAAGCTTCTTGAGAAAACGGCCATAATTCTCAGTTGCAAAAATCAATTTTAAATTTATCGGCTTGTTAAATAGAAAATGACACAATGGTTGCGTTTCTTTATACATTCCAGATAATTCCATTTCACAGCCACAATAAACAGAATTCGTTTGAAATATACGTTAACATATCATCGGGAACGTTCAGAATGAATAAAGAAATGCAGCCAAAATTGTTTGGAAAATTTTACACTTTAAATTTTAACAGTCTGATAATTAGAGAAATTCGGGATAAGTTTCTTTAATTGCAGTTCGATGTGGCAAGTACAAATCCCTTTGAAAAATCTGTCAACCTCAAGAATTTCCAAAAAATTTATTGCAGGAGAAGTTAAACCTTACACGTAAAGCTACTTTCGAAAGCTGATTTTATTTCCGAAAATCGAACTTTCCAATACTAGATACTTCCTGTCTGTTTACACGGTAAATGCAGAAACGACACTTTCAACTTCTTAAGTTGCGAGTAATAATTATGCTTACAAACAACATTAACAATTTTGCTGCTCTGAAAAAAAATTTAAATGCGCACAAAATGTCTTAGGAGAATAAAAAATAACAATTATTTTTTTTTTATGAGCTGCAAAATTTGTATATTTTTATTCAAATTTGCCAGAATTCGGGTCACACGGCAACACCCGATTCGTTTGACGCACTTTCGGCATAAATCTATGGTCATCAGCAATAACCGCCTAAGTCGAAAAACCTGAATTCGAGAAAAAACGTTTTAAACATTTGGATCGTAATGTTAGCCTTATGGGGAAACCAAAATATTTTCGCCTATAACTTTTTAAGTAGCCTAGCTGGCAAGGTGGGGGCATAAAATAGTGGTTAAAAATACGATAGCATACATAACTCCATTCTTTCTTAAGTCGACTTAGGCGGTTAGTGTTTGTCACCACAGAAATGAAAATTTCCAGTGCAGCAAGGGCAAGTTGAAGTTATTTCTCGAAAGCGATTTGCATAATCTCGGCTACCCGAAAGTGATTTCTGCAAGTTCGAAAAAGGAGTTTCTCGCTGTTTACACGGGAAAGTAGGCTTTTAATTTCGCATTTTAACAGCAAAATGCGTAGAAGTAGCGCTTGCCTTGCCACACCTAATAGCACTTTTAGCGTAACTATAGTTTGATAAATAGTTTAAGATGTCAATTACACTAAACGTTATGCTAGTACCTACTTTATCGTGTAAAGGCATTGTACTAAATCAAAAAATGGGCTGCCCCGACTTTCCGCGTTCGTAACAATGTTAGTTGAACAGATTGCAAAGCGAACCCTCCTTAACTTTGCGAGGGAGGGATTCGGCGAAGGCAAGGTGTTATCATCTAGGAACAGGGACAAGCTAGGTACCCAGCTGCCCCTGGCTTTGTTTCCAGGGACGATATCAACAGACAGGTTGTCTTTAAACGGAATTTCAGGACCTACACTTATAGCAAGGCAAGCTGGTGTACCTCTATTATGGAAAGGCACATACAGGCGAGCACAATACAGTGGTACAGTGGCGGCTCCAAAACACCTGCGGGGATTGGAGCAGGCGTGTACGGCCCCAGGCTGAAGCTTTCGGTGACCCTGGGAACCTTCCCAAGCATCTTTCAAGCGGAGGTCTATGCCATCAGTATGTGCGCAGAGATTAACATTAGCAGGAACTATAGGAATGAAAGGCTACTTATACTAAGTGATAGTCAGGCGGCACTTATGGCTCTCTCATCATTCCAGATGAAGTCCTCCTCGGTTTTGGTGTGTGTCGAGAGGCTTAATGCTCTGGCGGAGGTTAATGATATCCAACTAATGTGGGTACCTGGGCACATGGGCGTTACAGGAAATGAGGAGGCTGATCATCTTGCCAGATTAGCTGCTTCCTCGACCCCGATAGGACCTGAGCCCTTTCTGGCAGTGGGACCCAGTGGCGTGGCACTATGGGTCAACGTCAGGCTAAAAGCATATTAGGAGGTTACAATCTGATAAGATACAGGCTACTCATGAATCTTCCAAAGAATAAAATGAGAGTTATTACAGGATTTATGACTGGCCACTGTAGGCTCAGAGGGCACTTGTACAAACTAGGTATCTGGTCCAGCAACCTGTGTCGCTTCTGCGATACGGCCAGGGAAACTGCCCTACACCTAATGGAGTGTGAGGCCGTTGCGCGCTGGAGGTATAGGAGCATAGGGCACGTCTGGCCAAGAGAGGAGCACATACACTCACTGTCCCCGGGGACTATTATGCAGTTTATAGACACACCGGGGCTGTTTGAGGTGTTGTGATGAGCTAGGGGCACAATATACCTAACGGTCGCAGTGCCTTACCCAACCAACTAACTAACTAACTAGCTAATGTACAAATGTGTTATATATGTATGACAAAAGCATAAATAATCACGAAACACGAATGAGCTGACCAGAACGTGACGAAGTTTCTGGCTTCATTCGATAACTACCTATGCATGTGTAAGAAAGCATATACATACATACATACGTGCATACATATGTATCTATATACTATGTATGCACTAATGTCAAAATATAAAGATGTGATAATGCAGAACACAAGAGTCATAAGAGGGTAATGCATTTAACATATCGTCGTTTAAAGTACGAAACCGCGTATCTGGACATTTGCTGCCAAAAATTGTATTTGCTCACACAAGCTCTTGGCTCAATCCTTATCCATTCGTCCTGAAATATACTAGCCAGAAATGCGATTGCTTTATAAAAAAATAACCATTTAGAAATATGAGTGTTTTCACTCTCTAGAAAATAATTTATGCAACCTCTCATACGCGGTTTTGCATTATTTTGATACGCGGTTTTGTACTTTAAACGACGACATGCACATACTTATCGTCGCCTGGGTAAAATATTGTCGTATGTTACTTTCGGTAGGTTTTGGGAAATCGATGTTTTAGATTCAGTCGCAATAATGCTTAATTGTACATACTATATAAAGCATAAAACCACATTTTTTTTAATTTTCAGCAACTCATATAGCTTTACAGCCACTTTTTTATAAAATCATTTTGTCGTATATTGCATTTTCACGTTAACCGCTAGCCAGCTGTATTACATACTGCAAATAACACACAGAGTAAGTAAGCACAAGGCTGAAATTGTTGAAATTATTTTTTGCTCGTACGCAAAAAATTGATTCTAATACACCTGAGATATAAATTAATGAATAAAGATCAACAAAATATTAAATAATTTGTCAATAAGAGTTGTCGTAGCAAATACGACTATCTATTGTATAGGATTGGTGTGATTTTGTCGTATGTACCATACAATTTGTCACATAAGACAATATATCAAGCCCTAACCGCCAAAATAACGTAAGCGACATTTTTTTCAAAATTTTATTTTTGATGCAGAAATGCTTCTAGATACTTTAGGAATATTTCTGCATCAAAAAGATAATTTCGAAAAAAAATGTTGCTTACGTTATTTTGGCGGTTAGGGCTCGATATTAACAAGTAATGAATTTCATCAAACTGTATGAAAATTTTTTCGTACGTGAAATTTTTCGTCGCATAAAACAAAATGTTGACCAAATTTTTAAATTCCGAAAATCCCGGGATTATTTGCCAAGAATACGAGGATTTTCTAGATTTGTAATTTACAAAGGTGGCAATAATAGAAGTGCCTTATGTTGGCCAGTTTTGACTATATATTTGGACTATATATAGAACTATAGTTCCTTTGGTATATTTAATATTTAATATTTTTTTATAAATGTGTAGCTCAATATACATATAATACATACCTTGCGACAGGCAATATCACACACACACAAAAAAACAATATATTTGCGAAACCAAGGGCCAAATATGTACAGTAAAATTGCGTTCTTAATTTTTCTCTCTGATGTCAGAATTTTATAAAAGAACCTTGAAATTTGAAAGATATGAGTAATTCAAAAAATGATTTAAAAAATTCAGTGTACTTAAAAAAGTATGGGTATCAGATTAATGAAAAGATTCTGTAAAGTTAAAACAGATTATATTTTTTGGTGCGTAAGGGACGAGTAGGTATTAAAAAGGTCCTTTTACAATTTTATCCTTGAATATCCTTGAAATTTTGTAATTCTTATTTAAATATATATATATATATATATATATAATAAGGACTAACTTTATTAGCTTAAAAAATAAAATAGATAAAAGCCGCACTCCTATTCTCCCATGTGAACCCAAAAAATTCTACAGAAAATGTTATTTCATTTGGCACCGATATTTTGGTTTTACATTGGACTGAATTTTTTAAATAAGATTTGGAATTAATCATATCTTTGAAATTATAAAGTCTTTTTAAAAACATCATGACGTCAGAGAAATGCCCTTTTATATGCATTTAATTATATGTAATATGAGGTAGACCTTTACAAAAAAAAATGAAATAATGAATAAACAAAAGGAATATAGATAAAACTGATCGAAATAAGGCGCTTCTTTTATTTCTGCCACTAGTGTTATGAACTTGTTTGAACCAGATTATTAATTTTTTGACTTAATTTTGTTTTTACATCAAGCTTTTTTCAACATACCTTAAGTTATTTTATCATATATTATT